CCCCCCCCCCCCCCCAACCCGAGGGTCTCAAGACAGGTGTGCAGTTTATGAATAGGGCTTTGGCGTTTTGTGCATGTGCAAGCGGGCGTCCGTATGTCTCCATGATGTATGTGAGTAGATTGGCAGATGAAGCGGAGGCTGGATGAATGTTAAGGGGCTAATTACCTTCCCGCACCGCCGCCACATCACAACCCAAACAAGGCTTGCTAATGGCGGCTACGCTGCGCGCAGGCACACCCGCAGCCTTTGCTTGTAATGGCCGATAATTGGTCGTTCGCCGCTTCGCTCGGCACAAAATGTACCGACGTATGGAAGAAAAACAACCTTGGTCAAACCTGACCCAAAGGAAGCTCGCGCAAGTTGGACGTGCAACTTTGTTTGTGTACCGCGGTCAGAATGAATTTGGGATTTTGCTTTGTGGTTTGGTTGAGGTGGTTAGTTCATTCGCTCGTCGTTGATTTGTTTGAGTTTTTAGTTTGAGTATTAGCTTTAGTTACTTAGTATGGTGTATTCATGACCGTCCAGCCATAACGAAATAAATAATCTCGAAAGCTCTTTGTATATTATTCATTCAAAAAGACAAAAGACATTTTCACTCTAATTATAGTTTGGAGTTAGTTGTATAAACACAAGATGTACTTGGGGCCCAAGCAGCAACTGCTGCGAGGTCCCTACTGTTTTGGCAGGACTTCTTCTTATTCCTCTCCAAAACAGAATTGCATTTTTGAGGGCATAAACATGCAGGAAACGATTATTACTCTAAAATTGGGTTTGTGGTGCCCCCATAGAGGTTTAACGGAGCCCTATCCGGCTACATTTGACCTCGGTCAGCAATCCCCAAATTGCAGCCGGCTTGTGAGACCAGCCCTTGGGCCTGCTAAGCGATTTTTTATTTTATTTTTTGTCAGAACCACGCACTCACACAATGACAGCGGATTTCTCTTTCTGCAAGGCATCCCTTGCCGGGAGGCGTTGCCGTGGCCACCAGGGATCAAGACACGGACACCGCAGAGCGATAAACGAGGAAAAGCCGAGCCGCATGCGATCGCTCGCTTTGAGCGGCTATCAGATGACATTTGCTCGCTGTTCTGACGCAGCGGCGGCAACGCGATATATAGCCGAGCGCTCGTCAATGACATGCTGCCGCATCGATTCATACGATCGGGCTGCACCGCCGATTGGCGAATTGGTGACGGGCTACGGAATGATAATGTGACGCACGGCGATTGGTCACATCAAACTAACGTGGCTCGACGTGTACGGGCAGGAGTGGATACCGATTCATCGATGACGTCGTCGATTTTGTTCGAGTCCCTCGTGCGCGCGAACGTCAAGCGTGCTGTCAAATTGACATTTCTGAAATTGACCAGCCCTTTCTGATATTGACGGCCAACAGCCTGCCCACCCGAACGGCTAGGTCGCGCGTTTGTGACAGAACGCGCTGTCACCTGCCGCAGACGTGACAAGTGGAGCTCACGTACGCAATCAACCAATCGTCCATCCAGCCTGAACCGGGTGGTGTCCCTCAGGGCGGGAATGACGACAGCCCCGAAAGGCCATAAATCCACAAACGATCAATTCCTGTCCCGCCAGGACGGATCATTCATCGGGTGTTGTCTTCAGTCAATAAAAACGCCAGCGCATGCCAGACAGCGTCAATCATAATCATCATCGTAATAATATTGCAACATAGAAACGCATATCCCAAAAATACATCATACAAATAATTTTACAAATCAAAATAAACTGATATGTGTCTGTTTGAAAGATAAGAATAAAATATTACATCACATATGTATGTGTATATATATATATATATATATATATATATATATATATATATACACACACACACGCCAGTCAAGCAGAGGGCACATAGTCACACACACACACACACACACACACACACACACACACTCTTACACGGAATAATAAAGAAAATAATACACAATGAAATAAAAACATTCCCTGTGATCCATAAAAACAAACAAAAAAATCACTACACTGTACATCATTAGTTATTAAATTATCAATTAGAAATAATTGTTGAAAGAAACCAAAATCCTGAATGATCTTTTAGGCGTATGGATCATAACTCCATCATGACTGAATAAAAATTGTCTCTTCCGAGCACAAAAATGGACGAGACATCAAGCGTAAAATGAAAACACAAATACTATAAAACGACAATTTAAAAAAAAAAACGTCTGCATTTTTTCTAAAATGATAACAATGAGAAAAAAAATGTAAATGGGCGCGGCAAGACAAAAGAAATGGAGACGAAGACCTACCTGGAATTCCGATTGCGAGTCCCTGTCAAGAAAGACGACTCCGTGGGGCCAAGCGTCACATTCGTTGCGAAGAAGCGGTGAGCCTCCGGCAACATTCCTCTCGCTCCCGTGCTGCCGCCCAACCTCCCTTTACACAAACGCGCGCACGCACGCACGCACGCAGTTGTGACGTGCTTATGGCATGTCCACCAAGCCGCCGGTGTACAGATGACAATCGCGCGCTCCAAATCAATCATGGCAGCGGCATGCTGTGGAAGGGGCGTGATCGCAAATCTTACAAAGTTGCATCTTGTTGAGGAGGGAGGGAAGGAAAAAAGGGGGAAAAAAAATCCAATGTTTTTTGGAGCGTAAGAAAAAAAATGATGTGAATTTTTCGAGATTTAAATGTCATGGTTTCAAAAAAAAATTCAAATATTTTTGTTGCAAGCTTTGGAGAAAAAGTACCAAAAAAGTTCAACGAAATAATCATAGTTACACATTTTTTAGACAAAAAAAATGGTAGATTTTCTTGAGGAAAAAAAAGAATGTACATTTTCAAGATGAAAAAGTCACATTTTCAGATTTTTCTAAATAAAATCTTCAAAGGAAAAACACATTTTCAAGTAAAAAGTTGGTTTAGGTTTTCATGTTAAGATAAACAGTTGCATGTTTTCAAGTAAAAAGTTTTCATCTGAATCAAATTCGATATTCCAAGAGAAAAAAAATCGATATTTTTTTGAGAAAATTTTTTTTTTTTTTACTATTTTGTGGGAAAATATGAAAAGAAAAAGTTCAACAAGTTTGAGAAAAACTGCATCGCTGATTGCACCTTGAATTGCACTTCAGGAGGCTCTTCTTGTTGAAAATGTACAAAAATGTAAAATTTTTGATTAAAAAAAAAAAAATCTCAAAACGATCCTACTCTTTGTCTGCAACTTCCAATGAAGCTCTGCTAATTGACTTTCTCACACACGCGCGCTAACGACGCTATTAATCACTTTGCGGGTGACTCACGCTGGCGGCAGATGGCAAAGCCAAAGTGAGATGAATGAGAGGCGGCACGGCGACCATTCATCTCACTCCTCATAATAAAATGATGATGACAAATAATCTTGCACTGGAATAACTTCAGGCTTTCAGTCGTTTTCTTTCTTCTTTTTTTTTTTTTAATCACAACTCGCATTTATTTATTTTTGCCAGAGCATCTGCGCAAGGGTTTGACATGGCTCCTTTTCCAGTTTGCTGACGTTGATTTTTTTTTTTTTTTTTGGCGTGCATTCAAGAATTCCATCGCATGTCCTTCAAGTTCTTGAAGAAGGCGTACGTCACTTTGTTTTGTGGCCTAATCATGGGAAAAAAAACAAAAATGAGCATTTTCTCTCAGGGTGGCCACTTTTTTTCAGACCAGGATGAGGATTCACTCTTGAGTCAGGGCCGATACCAAGTACCGATACCATTCGTACGTTTGAAACATCAAATTTCAATGAAAACAAAATGGTGAACAAAGAACTTGTGAGTTGATTTGTGAAAGGTCACCTGAGGTCAGATGAGCACGCAGACCTTTTTCTTGGGTGTGGTGGGCTGAGGACAAAGAACGGCTCGGATGGCTTCGTCGAATACGGTCTTCAGACCTCGCTGACTCAGCGCCGAGCACTCCAAGTACTTGATGGCGTCTGCAGCAAAACATTGGGGCCATCTTGAGATTTGGGTTTCTAGGGGTAGGGTTTCAAGTCCGACTGAAGTAAATTCAGGCGGGTTGGGGCCTTCAAGTTGGGGTCCCCAATTTGAGTTTCGGGTTTAGGTTTCACGTTAGGGTCTCGGGCAGCATTGGTGGTTCAAGTTAGGGTTTTGAGTCCGTGTGGGGGTTTCACATGAGGGTTTCAAGCAGAGGTTCGTGTTTCAAGTGAAGAAACTCCATCTTGCCATTGATGGGGTTCAAACTAGGGATTTAAGTCAGCGGTGGGGTTTCAAGCAAAGAATAGGGTTTCAACTTAGGGTGGGAAACACAAAGGGTAGACATTCCAATTGGGGTGTCGAGTTATTGATGGGGTTTCAAGATGGGGGTGGGTTTTCAAAGTCATGTTCAGATTTGGGTTTGAAGCCTAGATTAGGGTTTCAAGTCTGTGTGAGAGATTCAAATTACGGTTTCAGATTACCGTTTCAAGACAGAGTGAGAGTTGGAGTTTCAAATTCGGATTCCAAGACAGAATTAGGGTTTCAAATTTGAGGAAGGCTTTCAAATGACAGTTTGGAGTCAGTGGTAGGGTTTCAAATGACAAGTTAAAAATGTAGGTTCGTGTTTCAAATTGCTGTCAGGGTTTGGTGTCAGCATTTCAATCCATGGTTAGGGGCGCCAGATAAGGCGTTGAACCGAGGGTTAAGGTTTGAAGTTGTCCTACCTATCTCCTTGGCCAGCGCCAGTCCTTGCGGGTACGTGATGGGCGCCAGTTTCTTGTCCTTGAGCTTGTCCACCGTGTCCTTCTCGTCCCGCAGGTCCAGCTTGGTGCCCACCAGGATGATGGGCGTGGACGGGCAGTGGTGGCGCACCTCAGGGTACCACTGCCGCAAAAAAAACCCCAAAAAAGCCACGTTGTCACCATGGACACGCGTCACCGCTCGACCGTCATTGATCGGCGAATGAGGATTTTGGAGGCTCGCAAAGGATTTGGGTCATCAGAAAAAAACAAAAAAAGGTTTCAGGGTTTTCAAACGAGGATGCAGGTTTCAAGCTAAGACTAAGGTTTTAAATTTAGGGTTCCAAGCCAGTGTTACAGGTGGGGTTTCAAAGGCAGGATTAGTTTTTTTTTTCAAGAAAGGGGTAGGGTTTCAAATTAGGCCTTCAAGGCAGAATTAGGGTTTTAAAATACTGTTTCAAGCCAGAAGAAAAATTTCAGACCAGGGTTAGAATTTCAATTCCAAAGTAGGGTTTCAAGGCAGGATTGGGGTTTTTAATTTAGGGTTTCAAGACAGGATTAGGGTTTTGCTGTAGGGTTTCAACCAAGGGTTGTGATTGAGAAGTAGGATATCAAGATAAGGTGAGGACTTCATACCTGACTAGTATTTCAAAGTAGGGCTTCAATTTGGGGTTACGGGGCAGGTTTAGGCGAAATCAATTGTGGTTTTCGAATTTGTGGTTTCAAGCTCGGATGAGGGTTTCAAATTAAGGTTTCAAGGCGCCTGGATCAGAGTCTCAAGATTGGCTTTCAAGGCACGTTTGGGGCGCTCGGTCAATATTGTAGCAATCACGCAGCGCGCGAGCCTTACCTTCGCTCTGACGTTCTCGTGCGACGCAGGACTCACCAGGGAGAAGCAAATCAGAAACACGTCCTGGACACACACACGCGTGACAATGAGTGTGCGTGTGCTCACGTGCGCTCGCGTGTGCGCGTACCGTCTGCGGGTAGGACAGCGGGCGGAGTCGGTCGTAGTCCTCCTGGCCGGCCGTGTCCCACAGGCCCAAGTTGACCGGCTTGCTGTCCACCATCACGTTGGCCGAGTAGTTGTCGAAGCTCAAGAACACACACAAGTAAGCGGACGACGCTCAAGGCGAGAATACCCGACGGAGGCTTTTCAATGGCCCCGCCCATCAGAAAAATCCCTCCGGCCTTGGAGTTCATATTCGAACATTTATTCTGAAATGAGTCGACGCATCGCACGAGCGCCGCGCTCCTTCCGGGAGCCGTGTGCACTTTTGATGCGTGCGTGCGTTTGTGTGTGTGTGTGTGTGTGTGTGTACTCACACAGTGGGGATGTATTCCCCTGGGAAAGCGTTGGTTGTGTAGCTGATGAGCAGACATGTTTTCCCCACAGCCCTGGAAAACACACACACGCACACACACACACACACACACACACACACACACACACACACACACACACACACACACACACACACACACACACGCACACACACACGCACACACACACACACACACGCTTTTTTGACACAGAAAAAAAGTAAAGTGTGTGTGCATGTCAGTGCAAAGAGGAAGCGGAGTGTGTGAAAACAGGAAGCGGTGAGATTGACGCGTTGCCGTCACACCTGACACACACGCTCCTATCAACGTTTTTTTTTTGTTTTTTTTAAATAATGTCCACAACCACACAGGATGTCAGAGTGACGTCGATGTTCAACAAGTGTGGTTACTAGTTAGTCTTTTCGATCCGTAATCAGTCACTAATGGGGGCAAGACCCCCGGTCAGCCAGTCGACAGGTAAGTTAGGCAGTCTGTTAGTTAGTTCGCAAGGTAGCTAGCTAGTTAGTTCTGGATTTGGTTGGTCAGTCAGACCTTTAGTCAGTTGCTTATTTATTGAGCGAATTAGTTGCCTAGCTAGTCAATTTGACTGTTAAAGAGCCAGTTAGCTGGTTAGCCAGGCAGCGAGGCAGTTAGTCAGGCGAAACGACCCTCGCTCGCTCAGTCAGCAAGTCCCTCATTTACTTTGGAGTTAGTTCGTTAGCCAGTTCACCACATTTGTAAAGCAATGCCACCCAAGTTACGCGTAAATTTGACAAGATAACGTGATGGAAGAATTACCCATGTGGACAAAAGTATTGGGACGCCCACAGGAAGTGACCGCTTAGCTTTGAGACCAGGAAGCCTTACGTCTCAGGAGACTTTTTGCTCCATTTTTATCACATCGATGCTCTACTGACGGTTCTTCCGCACCGACCTCATCCGAGCGCCGTTTCTGCCCAAAGACGACTTGGGTGTCGAGAAAAGGAAGTCGCTGAAAATTTTCCGCTGCTACTAGCGCAGGATTGTCAAATCAGAAAAGTCCCCATTCTGAGTTCATCCAGAGATGGAGCGCCCCAATACTTTTGGTCAGCGTGTCCCAAGTCAAGGTCAGTTCTTGTCAATCAACTCGGCATCGACGCGTAATGGCTGCGCTCGCCCTCACGCGGGCACACACGCGCGCAGTGCACACCTTCTACAAATTGAGAGATGATCACGCACTAATACTGTAATTCAAACTGATCCGAATTGATCGAGCGGAATAAAAATGAAAGTCGTACCCGTCTCCCACCACCACGCACTTGATGGCCTGCATGCTGCTCCGCTTCACGTTCAATGCGCACGAACGCACGCACGCAAACACACGTTCACACACACATACACCCTCACACTGAAAGACGAGCTACCGTGTGACACCACAGGAAGTTATAACACACACACACGCACACACGAGCGCACTTCGACTGTGTGTACATGTGTGTTTCTTTGGCTGACAGTTTGAATAGAAATCCTTTGTAGTTGCTTTTGTTCTACTTCCCCTTCGGCTGACATGCAACTCCCAATACGGGTCTGCCAGGTCGGACCGGCATCTTCTGCCGCCATAGGAGCACACTCATCACCACGTGGTGATATCTTGACAGCTGCGCCCGAGTGTCCAAAACACGCGACGGCCGCAAATCCGATGATACGACGGCAAAGTCATTCAAACGTCTTTGATCGGCGAATTTTCAACACAGCCGCATCCAAATTATGACGAGGGTGTGCACACTTTTGCAACCGCATACGTTGTTTAGGTTATCGGTCGCATGAAAGGTGTAAAAAGTTTGGAATTGTTTTTCATGGCTTCAAATGACAAAAAAAGAGGCATTTGGAGAGACGTGTGTAGACATTTTATCGCCACTGTATGACTTTGTCAAGGTACGCATTGTTGCTTTGACAAGAGGAAGTTGCAGACCGCCGCTGGTACATGATGTCAAATGATTTAAAAAAAAAAGAAAAAGCTACAAACCTTTCACAATAGTGGTAGCACACCATGTTCCACTCTGACGTCTGATGAGTGGTTTTATTTTGAAAGGGTGACTTCCTGCTAGGGGGAAGGAAGTGGTGGGCTCGCCGGGCGTGTCAGTCTTTCAAGTGTCACTTTGGACGCTTGGTGCTAATGCAGCATCCGCATCAGCTGGCTCTGCTTTTGGATTTGGGCACATTGCGTTTTTATTTTGCCGGAGCTCATGACTGACGGCCAAATGGGTAAAAAAAAAATTATTCAGCATTTCAAAAAAAAAATGTGCTTGTTTTTTCGTTGCTGATTTTTCCTAACTTTATCATGAGATGTTTTCTATTTTTCTTTTTCTTATCGCTTGTGTTGTCCTTTTTTTTAAATGTTTTTTTTGGGATCGAAATGATGAATGTTATCACAGATTTGTCGTGCTTTTGCTGGCTTGAAAATGATGAATTATCTTTTTTTTTATTTTGTTTGTTGCTGCCATTGTTAATTAATGACATTTTTTGAAAATATCAGAATAGTTTACATTACCATTCCAGGTTTTGTTTAAAGTATATTTTTTTACATTTAATATTGAACATTCACTTTTCACTGAAAGTTTTTATTGTTTTCGGTGAAAATTTGGTTTTCTTTGAAATGTATTGAAAAGAATACATTTATAGTGGATATTTGCGGGGATTTAATTGATTTTTTTTGCACTGTGTTATATTTTTTACAACCTAATATTTAGAATGAAAAATTATAATACAGTCGAAATTATAATGACATAAATCTAATACCAATTAAAAGGGGCAGGGATCATTTTAGGGATAATCCTTTAAAAACAGACGGAGGCAGTAAAAAAACAACAATTATTTTTTAAAAATCGAAATTAGTTTAAAAAAAAATACCAGCTGTCTCTGGTATAAATCGAATCTAAAATTGCCATTGAGTTCTTTTCAATCTACCATAAACAAGGAATATTGAGGAAGAAATGTAAATATGGATCATATATATATATATATGTGTGTGTATAAGCAAGCTAAATTGATTCCAAAAACTGGCAAAAGACTGGTATACCTTCTACCCTCTGTACAAAACCAGTGAAAGGTTTAGAGACACTTTCTAATGCTGCCAAATGAGAAAGTGTCTCTAAACTATTGGCTAAAGTGGAACAAAGTAAAGTGTGCTGTCATTTCCTCCATATGGCCACTATTTAAAAACTTTTTTTTTCTTTTCTCCTGATGTGAGCAACATCTTCGGTGACTTGTGTGTATGTGTGTGTGTGCGCGCGCGTGTGTGTGTGTGTGTGTTGCACAAGCAGCACACAGGAAGGGCGTTTTGGCTCGTCGTCTTGTTCACAAGAAGCGAGCATCTGTCAAGAGGAAGTACAGTGATGATCCCATGATCTCGCACACACAAACACACACACACACACACACACACACACACACACACACACACACACACACACACACACACACACACACACACACACACACACACAACTCCACGTGAAGAAGTTTTCGTTCATCCAAACCAGTCCCGGACCGACTAAGGGAGATGTTTGGCTTAGGTTATGATCAAAAGGAAAGTTCCTGATGCAGAAGGTTGCACGACTATTGGCAAGATGTGGCGTGGTCCCTCAATAAATGTTTCGCATTTTTTGTTCTCGGGGAGCTTTTCGATCTTGACAACGACCCCGATTGCTGCTTTTTTCTGAAAGATTTTTTTTTTGTGTGTGTAATGCTAAAGAAAGATTCTTCGTCTGTTTGAATTGTGATCACATTTGTGCTGCCTTTGTCTTGTTGCAAATGATTAGTTTTTATTACACACAGCTGTAAAAATATCTTACATATTCAATCACCAAATAGGAATATAAATAATAACAATAACAATCCCCTACTTTGTGAAAGATGCACTGTGATTACTTTTTTTCTCCTTTTTCTTCTTCTTCTCCTCTGTCTGAAAATACTGCCACTGCATCAGTAAGGATCGTCATGAAGTCGTCCACTGCCACGGATGACTTCATGACGTCAAAGGAATGAACAACTGACCTGATGTGTTGTGTTGCAGTTCTGTCAGACTTCACAGCGGCCGAGAAGTTGGAGCTGGAGAACATCAAGATGCACAAGGAAGGACTTCTGGAGGACATCCAGGTAAAACGTCACACGTTTGGCATGACAAAATCCATTTTGTCACGACTTTTCGTGTGTGCAGAAGCTGAAGGAGGAGATCGACAGCGTCATGGCCGAGATTCTCAACTTCGAGTTGGCTGAGACGGAGGAAAGGTAGGCCAGTCTGTCACAAAGAGAGCGACAAAAAAAAAATCCCTTTTTTGGTGGCTGGGGGTGGTGATTCAGCTCCCCAAGACTGTTTCACTCAGCAACATAAAATTTGGTCAACATTTCTATGAGTAGACCCACAAAAAATATGCCTCCCGATGCCATGCCTGAAAACAGACAGGAAGCCACACCATTTTCATTGCCTGAAATTAGTCCATATGCATACACTGCAATCTATTTTAAATTAGGCTCCCAAAACACGCCTGTCATTAGAAGACCCACAAAAAAAAAAATTCACAAGCCGTGCCTGAAAACACAAAAGGTCTTAATAATGTAATTCCCCTAAATTTGTTTGGCTGCATAACCCGCAGTCCTCCCTGCCCACAATTCAGCTCCTTAAGCTTGTTGAATTTAGCAACATGGAATTTGGTAGACATGTTTATCATGAGTAGACAAAAAAAAAAAAATCTCAAGAAGCCATGCATGAAAACACAAAGTAAGTCTGCTGTTTTGCTTAAAAGTGGCCATTTTAAGCTTGATTCAGCAATTTTATTAGAGGTCCACAATTGTTTGAAAGATTTTGTCAGACAGATTCTTTTTTTAGCTCTCTACCAAATTTTAACCTCATATGGAAGACAGTTGGGTGCAGATACATTGAGCTAAATTTTGTGTTGTTTGGCGTTGCACGGAGCTGAACTTGGATGACTTTGCCAGAGGAACTCCCAAAAATTGCAGAATGGGATTCAGTAAATGTCTCCGAATCGACCCACCCAAAAAAGTATGTGAGAAAAGAAACAAGAAGTCTGCCTTTTGGTTCGACGCAAACATTCTAGAGCCATTTTCTCGGGGTCCTTCAACAACAAACTCATTTCGTTTTCTTTCTTGCAGCAGAAACATGGGAAGGAAACAGTTTTCCAATGGGAAGAAGAAATTCAACATGGACCCCAAAAAGGTGAGCATCAAAATGTCACTTGCGGTGCAGCGAGTGCTCGTCTGCATGTTTTTGCCTCCGTCTCGGCAAAGCGGGGACTTCCTGTTTAGTGCGACGATGCCACGCTTGTGATTTCCTCCACGCTGAACGCATCACAGCGCTCTTTGCATACCAGGAACTTGGACTCAATTAGGCCACTCGAATATGTCGAGGGATGAGAAGAACGGCCCAATTTGGGGTCATTTTTCAATCCCTGCATGCGTCTCAGTGCTTTTGTCCACACTGCGTCCCTTTTTAGCATCGCAAAGTAGCTTTGGTTGCGTTTCGTGAACATGTGAAAGCAGAACAGGATGCCATTTTAGGGAATCAGAATAACAGAACTTGATCCCTGTGCACAAAAGAGCCAGAGATGAGATCATAGCCAAACAAAAAGGATTCAGAGATCTCCACCAAGGCCCCAAGATTTGTCAAATCAACGCTTTATGGACCACGATGCGACGTAAACACAATTGACATTCCCAGATTTCATCGTATGAATTTGTTGCGTTTACACTGAGGCCAAACGCGCAATCTGATTAGATCTATTCAACTTGATTTGTTATTACACGCCCGTGTGCACGTTTAGTTCTCCAGGGCTCTGTGTCGATTCTTCAGCATTTGTAAAATCAATGATTATTGACCAAGATCCAAAATAAGCAGAACTCATTTACATTTGGCCGGGCTAGGAGCAAATCAACGTGTTGCGTACACAATGCGGCTAAATGCGCAATCTGGATCAGATCAGGATTGAGCTTGATTTGTCATTTTATTCCCGCCCCCGACCCCCACTCACCCCGACATGCAGTAGCGAATGTTGTACATGCTTGTGTGAATGTGTAGGTTGAAGAAATGCGGTCGGTTTGTCTTGCATAAATTAGACCAACCAAACCGATGCTCAAAATGCGCGTGTGGTTCAGGGCATCAATTACCTGGTGGAGAACAAGCTATTGGAGAGAAGCGCCGGATGCATCGCCGACTTCCTCTTCAAGGAGGAGGGCCTCAACAAGACGGCCATCGGGGAGTTCCTGGGAGAAAGGTGGACCACTTGAGCCATGTCTACCGGACAGATGGACACACCAAATTGTTGGTGCCAAAGCATTTGGTCAAGTCGCGTGGCTCGAACTTGCCTGCCAACTTTGATGCTGAACCCTGAAAATTAGGGTGGTGAACATGCAAATTCCACACAGGTTTGGCTTAGCAGTGTTACTTTTGGTCGACTTTTCGCTCATGAGTGGCCCTACAAAAAGGAAACTTTCCATTTTGCTCCAAAGCGGCCCATTCGTTTTAATTGTGTTTCTTGAGTTGAAAACGAATTTCAACCCCTGTCACAGGTTTGCCTTGGCAGTATAAAGTTTGGTGGATTCATCTCCCGAGAGTAGATCCACAAAAAAGTCTCAAAGAAGCCATGCTCGAAAGCGCACAGGAATAATGCTCCTTGAAATTAGTTCAGTGGCATAGCCCCCCCCCCCCCCAAACATTTGAAAATTCAGCCCTCAACGCCAGGTTGACCGAGCAGCATCAAATTTGGTGAACATGTCTGTCATGAGCCGACCCTCCAAAAGTCTCAAAAAGCCATTCCCCACAACGATAGAGGACATACTCCGTTTTGCTCGGGAGCGGTCCTTTCCTCAATTTGAAAAATGGTTCAATAAATTCAGCCCAGCCCCATTCATAAGTTGGACTTGACAATATGAAAATTGGTAGACCTCATAAGCAGGCCCACCCAAAACGTCTCTGGAAGGCACGCCCCCAAAATACAGAGGAAGTCTTGCATTTTGCTTTGAAGTGAACATTTTAGGCAAAATGTTCCATTGTCATCTTTCTTTGAAAATCAGAGACGAGCTGCACCTGCAGACCTTGAAGGCCTTTGTGGAACTTCACGAGTTCTCCGACCTCAACTTAGTCCAGGCGCTCAGGTCTGTTTGGACAAGCTTCGATGTGGCCGTTGTTGATGTCGGGTTTTGACATCAGGCTGTGACATCACGTCTGCGAATGACATCGCACTATGACGTCATCTTTAACTGCCCCCTCTTGCAAACCTTGCAGACAGTTTCTGTGGAGTTTCCGGCTGCCGGGCGAGGCCCAGAAGATTGACCGCATGATGGAGGCATTCGCCGCGAGATACTGCGAATGCAACGTAAATGTCTTCCAGTCAACTGGTAAACTCACATTTTTTTTTCAACTTTGGGGATTATTTCAAGTTGTTGTGTTCAGGGGCGGGGCTACTACTTCAGTGTGCGGCCAAGGTGACACATTGACTCACCAAGGGCAGATGTTGTTGAGCTGGTCAAGGGCTGTGAGAGCGATCGATCGGATGCGATCGCTCAAAGTTGGTCAGATCTGAATCAGTCTGCACCCCAAAGTTTCAGATTTTAGCTTTCTAAGACAGTGACTTGAAGTGTTTACAAACAGCAATCCTCTTTTCTTCATGACCAAAAAGCAGCTACCTCAGTTTTTGGTTTGGTTTAGTTGAAGGAGGTTTTGGTTCATCCACTTGTCCATTCCTTTTAGTCAGTGAAATACCTTAATAGAACTGTTGTCACTTTGGGACATTGACAAACATGCAGTAGCTGCGCATCATCGGCATAGCCATGATAGCCAACATTAGCCTCCTGAAGAATTTGACTCAAGGGTTGCTGATACAGACTGATAAAAGGGGTCCGAGGATTGACCCTTGAGGGACCCCATTTGATCAGATTTTAAATTTCAAAATATTACTAGATTGTAGCCAATTTCTTTGCTTTTGTGCACTATGTCACATGGATTTAGGTCATGTAGAGACTGACTCGTTAACAGCCCATCGGAGTGATCAGCTGTCAGTGACGACTGACACTTTTTTTGTGCATGAAAGCGTTTTTCTTTGGGATTTTCACTTCTGCCCGTCTGGGTCTGTTCCTCTGCGGCTGCACGTGCGTCCACAGACACGTGCTACATCCTGTCGTTTGCCATCATCATGCTGAACACCAGCCTGCACAACCCCAACGTGAAGGACAAGACCACGCTGGAGCGATTTGTGTGCATGAACAGAGGCATCAACAACGGGCGCGACCTCCCTGCGGAGCTGCTCTCGGTAAACGCGCAGGTCACCCAGCAGAAATATTCGTAAAACCTTGCGTCTCGTCGCAGCGTCTACCTAATGGAGTGACCCGTGCCTTTGGTTGGACTTGGTGGCCACATCATTAAATATTCATGCAATGGAGGACTGCCCAAGATTACGTGAACATTTTCTTCCATTTTAAATCACTACTGTGTCTGAAATAATTTTTTAAACATTTTTTTATTATTGATAATTTTAGAATGTTTTTCTTAAATTTCAGTATTGACATTTAATTGTATTTATTTTAGAATATTGTTTTTTTAGTATTGATTATTTCCTTTATTTCATGATCGGATTTGATTTGCTTTAGAAGTTGATTATATTGCAATCAGATTTCCATTTTTATATTTTTCATGTGAAGAGGATATTTTTAAAAAAAATTACACATTGGTCCTCCAAATAACTCTCCTCAGCTTTATTTTGAAAATCCTTTCAGTCGTTTTTTTAAAAATTTACCTCATCTATATATATATATATATATTTTTTTTTGGTGGGGGGAAATTATTTAGCATTTTTTTTTTCATGCAGCAGTGTTATTTACATGAATTCTCCACATTTTATTTACTTTTTGGATAACAATTTTTCATGGCATCCCTTTTGATGTTGGTTTATTCATTTGGTAATATTATTACTTGATCGTTATTTGTATTTTGCATATCTTTCCTCATCATTTGGCCGTTCTGTTTAAGTTGCGGTGCTGTCATTCCATTGTTGTGACTTCCCGTTTGTGATTTCAATGATCGTCTTTTTTTTTCTTTTTTTCTTTCCTTAGAAACTGTACGAGAGCATCCGCAAGGAGCCGTTCAAGATTCCCGAGGACGACGGCAACGACCTGACGCACACGTTCTTCAACCCCGACCGGGAAGGGTGGCTCCTCAAGCTCGGTAAACGTGCGCCCCAAACGTGTGCTTCCTTCGCTTCGTTTCTAATGAGAATCCTTTTTTTTTTGTTTTTGTCTTTCGTTTGAAGGCGGCCGAGTGAAGACGTGGAAGAGGCGATGGTTCATTCTGACCGACAACTGTCTCTACTACTTTGAGTACACCACCGTAAGGCCTCTCTCCAAACACTTCCTGTCGGCAAGCAAGCAACGGTCGAATACAAAAAAAGTCTAGCCGGCCCTGTTCGAATAACACCGAGAGGAATCGTTTCAAAACGTTTCCCGCCATAACCTGCAACTCAGGAAGTTTATGAGCATACGTGTGCACACCCTCTGGGATGTGGCTGCGTTCAAACTTGTGTTAAATGGGAGTCAGCGCACACCTGACGGCATGTCAAGTTCCTCTGATTTCCATCAAATGATGTTTGGCTGTTCTAGTAGGCTTTCCTGACATTTGTCTTTGCCTTCCAGCAGAAGCCTGAAGATTTGTGTGCGAACAGGAACACAAATTATATTGTCTCCATGCATTTGGAAAATGTCAAGTACTTTTTTTAATAAGATACCCCAGTATCCTGTGGACAATATGCCTCCCCAAAATCAACCTACAAAAAATTGGTTTTTTTTTCTCTTTGTAGCCACGTAAAATAATGTGTGCTCATTTTTGGGTCAACTAAGATGTTATTTCATTATTTGTACAACAGGCTGTCGAAACGGAAAAAAATAAGGTGGTGAAATAAACCGTTTTGCATTTTATCGTCGCGTGATGCCATTGAGGGGTTGTAATGAGCATGACAAGATTTGTACGGCCATGGGCATGTTTGAAAATGCACTACTTGTTCGTGAAATGACACGAGTGCAGAGGTCGCGGGATCAATCCTGGCTCCGGCTTTCTTGTGTGGAGTTTGCATGTTCTTGCCGGGCCTGCGTGGGTTTTCTCTGGGTACTCCAGTTTCCTCCCACATTCCGAAAACATGCATGGCAGGCTGATTGGGCACTCGAAATTCTCCCTAGATGCGAGTGTGAGCGCGGATGGTCATTCGTCTCTATGTGCCGTGTGATTGGCCGGCAACCGGTTCAGGGTGTCCCCCGCCCACTGCCCGAAGACAGCTGGGATAGGCTCCGGCACGCGCCGCAACCCGTGTGAGGATCAGTGGATCAGAAAATGGATGGATGAATGGGTGGGTGGTCCCTGTAATGCAGCCACAACACTTTGAAATGCTGCCGTTTAGTTCATGTGAGTTTGAAGGCGAGTCGTCCACTGCGAACTGGTAAAGGAGGGGTGTGTAGACTTTCTCCACCCACTGTATCTGGTTGGCATGCTCCTGATCCTTGGCATTTCCCGGCAGGACAAGGAGCCCAGAGGCATCATCCCGCTGGAGAACTTGTGCGTCCGAGACGTCCCCTTCCCCCGCAAGCCTGTGAGCATCCAGCACACGTCACATGAAACACGCACGACTGTCCGAATGGAGCTTTTTATTTGAGCTCTTTTTTTGTACTGTCTCGCATATTATATACTCCCTTATTTATTTATCTAAATATTACTTTCATATTTTTCAATAATTAATATCACTTATTTTTGTTTGTCTATTTTGTATTTTATACCTATTTTTAAATTGTGTGTTTATTCATATATTTACAAAAGAGCGATTCATGAATTCGAAACGTTTTAAAATTACAATTGCAAAAATCTGCCAACAATGATGGACATTACAAAATGCATTAAAAATAATAATAATAAACAATAAAAACTCTCAATAAAAATTGGAATGAATTGCCAATAAGCATTTTCCACAAAAAAATGGGGTTGGCTATTTTTTTTTCAATTTAGCACTTTCGTGAATTCACGGGAGCCCAACGATGAGCCTGCATGGGCGACTGTATTTTCATTTTTTACCGATACATCTGTATTTGTGTCTTATGTTCTTCTTTATATATATATTTATTTATTCACACTCCTCTCCTTTTACTTTTTTTTCTTTATGTGCCCTGTGGCACTAGTACTGCCTGGAGCTGTACAACCCCAACAGTCGGGGTCAGAAGATCAAGGCGTGCAAGACGGAGACGGACGGCCGCGTGGTGCAGGGCAAGCATCAGTCGTACGCCATCTGCGCCGCCAGCGCCGGCGAGAGAGACTCCTGGATCGACGCCATCAGGTACCCCACAAACCTTTTGAGCTAAACGCCGGCTTTTTACGCGGGGAGAAAAAAAAAGTTGACTCAATTTCGATCACAAAATGTTTGCCTGAATGTTACGGCATTCACACAACAATTCCATATTTTAATGTTGGTCATGATGGTGGCACTTGGAAAAGTAACATTTCTTTCCCTGTGGAATTAGATTTAAAAAGTGTGAAATATTGGCTTGAACCATGCCCCGAGTGGTAATGTAGACGTTCTGGCGATCCCGGTGGGCCAGGCTGCTCGGGCCGCTATTCCAGCCCGTGGATCAGTTTTGAAATCAGCAAAGAAAGTGGATCTGCAATATTCACATCTCTTATTGCCTTCCCGTACATACATTACGTACAATAAAAAAAAACAAAGCCAAATAAAACTAATTGGCAGGCCGTCTTGGTCTCATGTAATGACTGACCATGGCTTCAACCCACGTGAGCCGTGATTGGTGGTGCCCTGACGCCTGAGCAACTCTGCTGTCATTTTCAGTCAGCATAAAGTAACAAAACGGCGAAAAACGAGAATGGATTTTGCAGCTTAACTCACATCCGACAAACGCAATATTAATCGGAATGCCGCGTTAAGACTCATGGTGCATATTCTTGTCAAGAAAAGAAAAACAGCATTTGTTCCATCTGCCTTTTTAAAAGAAGGATACAATGTCTTCTCTCAGGTCATGCATACTTGCCTTGTTCAAATCAACAATAATGCTGATGTTGTAAGCACATTCAATTCTTATTTGATTTTTTTCATGCATTAAAAAAAGATTGCACATTTGTACACTTTCACGTTTTTTTTTTAATTTGTTAAAATACATGTAGAAATGTTTGAAGAGCGTGTGAACCAACTCCCTTTAAAATGTTGAATTGTGGAACGGAACTGCCGCGATCGATTTCAAATGAGTGATATCGCTGTTGATTTTGAAAGGGCGAGCATCACCAAGGACCCTTTCTACGATCTGGTCTCCCAGCGCAAGAAGAAGCTCATCAAACAGAACCAGGACCCGCAGGACTGAACTGGACTCGAGTCAATGGAACGTGCGCACTGGTGGACATTTTGGATCAAAACGCTCGAGCTTAGTCTTCGTATTTGGGCCCCGACGAAGGCTGGGACCAACTGTGTGCCAGGTGATTGTGTGTGTGTATGTGTTTATATATATGTATTTATAAATAGAAAGGTAAAGTGTTTTTTGTGACAAATGAAGGTGCATCTATAAGGGCCCTCTTTGAGGTGTTTGAACTATTCATCACTTCCTCTTCCGTGGTGCAAGCAGCTGTGGAGTTATTACTGTCCTTCTGCTTTTCTTACACACGCATTGTCTTCTTAAGAAATGCATTTGGGGGGGGGGGGTGCAAAGTATATACGGTATGTAATATACCGTATATATATATATATATATGTGCACTGTATGTAAATATAAAAAGATTGTTCTTTGGTTTTCATTCAGGTGACACTTTGACTTGTATCATATTTTCATGACCACTTCCTTTTTTCTATCCTTGTACAGCTTCAACTACTGATTACGAATGCCTGAAAATTGTTGTTAAGAATAAAACAATGTATTTTATATGTAAATATTTTTTTTTTGGGGGGGGGGGGGGGGGTATGAGTTTTTCTTGCTTT